GACCCGGATGATAAGGGGGGCTGTAATGGTGATAAAGCAGGTTGGCCAAGGTGATAAGGGGGGTTATTGGTGATCAAGCAGGTTGACATGAGGTTATAAGGGGGGGTATTGTTGATGTGCATGGTTGACCTGGGTGATAAGGGGGGGGTATTGGTGATCAAGCAGGTTGACCTAGTTGATAAGGGAGGGTATTGGTGATGCTAAGGTTGACCCGGGTGATAAGGAAGGGTATTGGTGATGTCCAAGGTTGACCCGGGTGATAAGGGAGGGTATTGGTAATGTCCAAGGTTGACCCGGGTGATAAGGGAGGATATTGGTAATGTCCAAGGTTGACGCAGGTGATAAGGGGGGGTATTGGTGATCAAGCAGGTTGACCCAGGTGATAAGGGGGGTATTGGTGATGTCCAAGGTTGATCCGGGTGATAAGGGGTGGCTATTGGTGATGTCCATGTATTGCAGATCAACCAAGTTGACCCGGGTGATAAGGAGTGGTTATTTTTGATTTGCATGGTTGACCCAGGTGATAAGGCGATTGGTGATCAAGCAGGATAACCCTGGGAGTATTGGTTATCAAGCAGGTTGACCTGGGTGATAAAGGGGGTGTATTGGTGATGCCCCTTGTATGACATAAGTGATAAGGGGCGGTATTGGTGTTCAGGCAGATTGACCCATGTGATAAGGGGGGTAATTGTGATACCTATGGTTGACCCGGGTAATAAGGGTGGGTATTGGTGATGGCCATGGTTGAGCCAGGTGATAAGGGGGGGTGTTGGTGTCCATGGATGACCCAGGTGATGAGGGGGGAATTAGTGATGTCTATGCTTGACCTGAATGATAAGGGGGGGTATTAGTGTTCAAGCAGATTGACTCAGGTAATAAGAGGGGGGGATATTAGTGATCAAGCAGATTGAATCGGGTGATTGGGGGGTATTGTTGATTAATCAGGTAGACCTGCGTAATAATGGATGTATTGGTAATGTCCATGTTTGACCTGGCTGATAACCGGGGCTATTGGTGATGTCCATTGTTGACCCGGGTGATAAAGGAGGGTTATTGGTGATCAAGGAGGTTGACCTGGATGATAAGGGGGTGTATTAGTGATCAAGGAGGTTGACTCGGGTAATGAGGGGGGTTATTGGTGATCAATGAGGTTGACCTGGGTGATAAGGGGGAGGTATTAGTGATCAAGGAGATTGACCCGTGTGATGAGGGGGGTATTGGTGATGTCCATGGTTGACCCGGATTATTTGCGAGGGTATTGGTGATGTCCATGGTTCAGGAAAATGATAAGAGAGGGTATTGGTGATCAAGGAGGTTGCCTGGGGTAATAACGGGGGTATTAGTGTTCAAGGAGGTTGATCCGGTGATAAAGTTATTGGTGATGTCCATGGTTGATCTGGGTGATAAGTGGGGTAATGGTGATCAAGGAAATTGATCCAGGTTATAAATGAGGGTAATGTTGATGTCCATGGTTGCCCCAGATGATAAGGAGGGTATTGGTGATCAAAGAGGTTGACCCTGGTAAAAAGGGAAGGTATTGGTGATGTCCATGGTTGACTCGGGTGATAAAGGGGGGGTATTAGTGATCAAGCAGATTGAACCCAGTGATAGTATTGTTGATCAACAGGTTGATGTCCGTGGATGACCCGGCTGATAAGGGGGGATTTTGGTGATGTCCATGGTTGGCCCAGGTGATAAGGGGGGTATTGGTGATGTCATGATTGACCTGGGTGGTAAGGTGTGCGTTGCTGTTCCTTAGCTGTTGCTCAAGAGCAGCAGCACAGTGATGAATTATCAAATCTCCTTTAATCACATGTGCACTCCAGCAGAGTGTGACTGACCACCAAATCTGCCGCTCCCTTTCACAGCCTGCGGGTTAATACAGGAGACTGATATCAAGACAAATCAATTACATTTTGTACTCAGTACTGTTTGTGTATATAGAAATATATTTTTTTGCTTTGCTTTTCATACCTGCCTGGAATTCAACAATAAATAGTTTCCTTTCAGAATAAAGAGCAATTTTTAGGATACAGTCCCCTTTAAATGCTGTGTTTTCTGTGACACGCTTAGAGTATTGCTCACATAGCCGTGAAACTCAGATTCTCAAATAGTATTCGAGGCAAGCTCAGGATTCCATAGCTACAACATTTGCATTTTGTTCTCTGATTGGTCCCCGCAGAGAAATCCCAGAGGGCATCGTTCCTGAAAATCAGACACTCAGATGACCAAGATGAATTCACCTGAGGCTACGAGGCGCAGTTCCCATCATGTCACCGTCTCATGGAGACAAGACTTCTCAGTCTCACATTAGATCATGTTGTGGATCAATACAGAGGGGGATTCTGTGTGCTTCAGAACAGCAATTTATCAGCCATTCCATACAATAATCATTTTTATTGATTTGTAGAGTGGAAGAATTTCCCAGAAGTCTGTGCAAAGTAATGACAGCATGCAAACCGTCTGTTTATATGACCTCAGCAGCTGAAAAAGAAGTATTTGCTCCTATCATGCTGGCAAACGATGAAATAAGCATTTGCAGAAGATTCAGATATAGAGATGAGCACATTTGGTGCAATCGACAAGTTTTAACTTTTTCAGCCGGCTCACTTTTTTGCCGGGCTGGAGGGGACGTGGCGGGTCATTGAAGTGAATGGCACCGTACCCACGCCCTTCGGCCGCAATGCTATCGCCCGCATGGGATCGCAAGGCACATTGTGTCTGCAGTGCGGTCCGGTGCGATCATAATAGCTTGCGGCATTTTGATGCGATGCAGTGCGTTCTGGCCAGAATCGGACCGGAATGCAGTGCATAGGGTGTGAACTAGCCCTAAGACTAGTCCATCCAGCCTTGCTTCCCCTACGCTGCAGCAGTCTAAGGTCCCTAAGTCATCACATTTTATGCACAGTGTATTGGACGTGAGGTTGCCAAGGGACATTCCATCACTGCAGTGGAGGAGAAATATAAAGATGATTCATTCTTTGTAGAAATTAATGTGCAATTTTCAGGGTTATTCACAAAAGGGTGAAGAGTTTGGAGAAGACATGAGAAAGGAACAATCTAGGCCAACATAGCTGAACTGGAAGAATTCTCTAATTCAGCTCACTTTCCAGTTCAGCTATTTTGGCCTAGATTGTTCACTTCTCCTGCCTTCTCCAAACTCTTCACCCTTTTGTGAATAGCCCTGTTAGTGTATTCCCCCACACAGTATCTACAGTACCGATGCTCTATGCACACAACATTCACAAATCAGATTGTACCAGTACTTCTTTTATTGCATGGTTGCACATAGCATTACAGAACAGACAGTAAAGGTTCTGTACATACTGCATGGCTACACACAGCATTCACAGGACAGACAGTACAGGTACCACTGGCGGACCTACCGC